TCTCCGAACTGAATGCAAGGAATTGGTTAGTATCTAGCTAGGTGTAGTATGTGTGGTTGCTTTTGGCAGCTGATGATTAAATAGGTTTCTGGGGCTTCTAATGGTGACGTTGTTGACAGCTGTTACAGTTGACACAATTTCTCACTCAGCTTCAGCTAGTAGCATGTAATGAAAAAAAGGCAAAACACAATTTTATTCAAACATTTCTGACTTAAAATGGCACGCACAATCTGTTTCACAAAAAAAAATTTGGAAGTATCCAAAAAACATATATACAGGGCGCCCCGATACCTCACCTGGGCATTAGGTTTGAGTCCGACCTGTGGCCCCTTTGCTGTGTGTCGTTAACAAAACGATATTTACAGTACAATTGTATTCAACATTCTTATGAAGTCTATAAAACATATGAAAGTATAAAAATATATTCTTACATTCTATGCATCATCACCTAAAATGACCTACAATTGGTGAGAATTGAATCTCATTGTGGAGATGGTCACACAAATAGACAAACAACCAAAACCACATCTCCCACTTTACATAGCAGTGCTCCTCTCATCCAGGCTGGTTGTCTGAGAGTAGACTGACGCATTGATTCTGTCTTGCGGTAGGAAGACTTTGATCACCTGGCACAATCTGCAGGGAGTCCTGTTGATCATCCTTAGCAGGTGCCTTCTGAACTTCTCCCCAACAAACACATACAGGATGGGGTTGAGGCAGCTGTGAGAGTAGGCAATGACCTCAGTGACTTGTAAAGCCAATCTGATGGCTTTGCTGCTTTCGCATTCAGTATAGATGTGCAATAGCTCCAGCGCTTTGAAGAACGATGCAATGTTGTAGGGGACCCAACAGCAGAAGAAAACAGCCACCACCATGAGAACTAAACGGATGGCCTGTTTCTTGGATGACTGGCTGTACAGTAGCCTCCAGATGATCTGTGAGTAGCAGAAACCCATGATGGCAAGTGGGACAAATAGACCCAAAAGGTTCATTTTAAAAAGGCTGAAGACCGCCCAGAAGTGAGAGTTGTGTGAACTGTTATCTTGAGAATTGGTGTTGGGATATGCAGGGAAGCAGAACCGAGTATCTGTACCATTAGACTGCTCCTTGAGAAAGATCAGGTCAGGGAAAGAAGCCAAAAATCCGGCCACCCATGTAACAGCAGCTGCAATCATTCCAAAGGACCTTGTGCGTGCTCTCATAGCGTAAACTGCGTGTACTACAGCCAAGTACCGGTCGATGCTCATTAGACTGATGAAGAAGATCCCACAGTAAAAAGCAATATGATAAATACCCAGGACCATTTTGCACATAGTATCCCCGAACCGCCACTCGTCCCGGGCCTGGTGGGCTAGGAAGGGAAGGGAAGACACCAAGAGCAAGTCAGCAACAGCCAAGTTTAGGAGGCACACGTCGGTCATGCTGCGGAGTCGCACCCCACAAGCAATGACCCAGATGACCAGGGAATTACCCAGCACACCGAGGAGGAAGAAAATGGCGTAGAGGGCTGGAAGAAAACTGGCCACATGACGCGGATACACACAAACTTCATAGCCATCTTCAGGGTACTCGTAATCTGTGGAGCTTACAGCAATGTCACTGGTGTAGGATGCTGTTGTAGAGCTGGTGATAAACAAAGAAACAAAATTAGTAAAGATAAATCAATTAGTTCCAATTATTTCAGGTCATGTTACTATAAGCTCCTGCTTAACGTACTAGCTGTGAATACTATTCAAAATAAATTTACTGGCAAAACACACTGAAATAGATAAATAATGAAATGACAAACTTTCTTTATTAGGCTAGGAATAAAGTCAAACAGAGGAAACTTGCACTTGAAGAAGACACAGACTACAGACTTTATGACAACATAAAGAACAAAATATGGTGGTATGTGTGTCAGGCGTGAGTTTAATCTTACCCTGGTGTGTTTTGTATAGTTGCAACCTCAGTTAAGCCACCGAAAGCACTTACAGTAAGGATTGTTGCGTCCATGGTCAGCTGCCTGGAAAAAAATTGAAAAGTGACCTACTTTCTGAAGAACAAGAGAAAAGCTGCACACACCCTAGCCTATGGAAGCCACAAAGGGCCATGTTTGCATTCTATTCTATTTTTTTTTTTTTTAATTTTAACCCTGTGCTACAACCTTATTCCTATACCTGTATTAGGATGTTTTAGTAAACATTCCAATGAGGTGGAGGAGTGGGTATAATGTATCAAGTGAGCGAGGGAGCTCCCTTTAGGAAAACAAGTGGCCACATGGTGGACGGCAAAATTAATTTTCATTTCCCTTTTTTAACTGTTGCATGTTTAAATAGAGATAACTTGACATAACAATGGTCACAACTTTAATGTTCTTTTTTGGTCAAATTTACAAATCTTTAAACTTAACCACACAGACATTTCAGAACAGATACACCACGTGTAATAGAGGAACTTATGAAGGGTTTTATGGTGTATTTTTACACAAGAGTGTATTGTTGTATTTGGTGTCTGACGAGTAAGTATACTTTGCACAGTGAAAGAAACCTGCAGGCTGATTTAGCAACCTGTAGACAGTGTAGGTGGTTTGCTTGTTTCAGATTGATCCAGTCTGTCTCTTAAATTCTGAGAATGTTTAAAAGTGATCCAGTGGTGCAAAAGATCTCGTCTTGTCTTTGCCTACTAATTATTCTTCAGTTGAGAAGGTGATTCTGGACAAAGGTGTCTCGGATAGGCGAAGGAAATATATGATATACAGGGAAATGGCTTTAAATGCTTTTTAATTTTTACATTTAATCTGGAACTTCTGGACAGCACTGCTAATTCAGCACAGTTTCAAGAATTAAAAGTAAATTAGAGTTTTTTGAATGAGCTAATGTGTGGTCAAGATATTGATGGCTCTCTCAGTACTGTTGTAGTCCGTCAAATGTGGTCCCATTACTTAAAAAATTGTTAGTTATGAGTTGTAGAATTGACTGATGACCATAATTTCATCAATTAATCTTTTCTACAAATCAGTTTTGAACATAAATGTGCTGGGATGAAAATACATTTTCTTTCTCCCATACACCCAAAGCAAGACATGCATACGACGGGACAAATGCTCTGGGACTGTAAGTAATATGAATCCAAATACTTAAAGGTATGTATGCGTATGAATATGTGTGCTTTTTCTTTAGAGTCAACAAAATGTACCACATAGTTTTTTCTTATGATTAATGTCTGATATTTTGAAGACCCTTGCTATAGCTATAAATTATGTGATACATTGAATTGGATAAATTGTAAAGCAGTTTTCTTTGTAAACTGTATCTGTCCCTATCAAATAAATATTAAATGAAATTAAATTAAATATTTTGACCCTGACACAGTAGTGTTGAAATGTTAGTGTGTCATTGTTACAGGCTGACTAATCAGAAATAGACATTTTTGATACTGTATGTCATGTTAAAGCATGTAAAATTTAAATAAACAAAACAAAAGAAGCTTTACCTGCCAGTGCCAGTAAGATAGGTTATAGTGGTATTCATTCTGTATCAGAAGACGCAGAGGTGGACGGCTAAATCAAAGAAGGCATCAGCTGTGCATCCAATCTAATCTGCCAATCTGTACACAATAAAATGAGAAATGGTTTCCACCCCAAGAAAGTGCAGGTGTGAGAAGTGTGCAAACCATGTTACAAATCTACCCAGTATGAAGAAGTAGGTGGGCTTGCGGGCTTGCATATGAGAGAAATGTGGTTTAAAACTTCCTGAGAATGCTTACGAAAACATTCTGTTGGAGCCCACAGCGTTTGCGGTCCAAGTCCACATGCAAGCTTTAAATGTTCAGGGTGACTCGGACCAGCCCAGCAGGCCACAGCTGGAGGCTTGCAGAGCTCTGTGTGCAAGTATATTTAGAGGAAGTGATACTACTGACACAGTGCACAGTGCAGTGTCTGGCTGTTCAAAACAGCAAGCAAATGACTTTCTCTGTGCAGGGAAATGTTCTGACTAATATCTATGGCTAGAGTTCAGATGTGACTATTGCATTTCACAGATCTTAACATTGTTGTGCATCATTTTTAATCAGTCACAAGCTGAATTGTGTTGGCGCAGATGACTGTCTATCTGGCTTGTTAGTCAGGGGGGTTGTTCTTATATGACATAGGGATTCTGCTCTGTACAATTCTTGTCAAATAATTACAAACTGCCAGGAATGACTGACAGAAAGTCATCCAGGTAGTCTCAAATATCTCAGTATGTGTGAACTTTTTTATATTAATTTTTTTATATTTTCATTTAGGTATATGTGAAATTACCTACAAACTACAGCAGTGCAGTAAAACTATGAATGCAATGATAATCCCCCACTTAACACAGCAGACAAGCTGGGCTCAAGCTAAAGGTACAACATTCTCTGTGTGTACAAACAGGCTCCTCAAGGGCTTGACAGAATATTTGTCCACTGGCCCTTGTTAAACATGACATCCTTAGCTGGGGATATGACACACGCCTGATGTTTAAGATCTTAAATGTCAAGACTCCTCCACCACTTTGCTTTATGAAGAAAAATTCAAACAGCATATCTACAAGGTCTTCAGAGGGTGCAGCTCCCTCAGCCAATCATGCTTTTCTGTAAGAATTTCTCAGCTGTGGAACACCCTACCAACTAAAATAAGAAACTGTCACCTATCATACCTTCACACAAAGGCCTGACTTCAGAAAAACACACCCAAGCAATACTTATTCTAACCATTTTTTGACACATACATACAGCATGTCTCTACGTGTCATGCTTATGCTTATGCTTATATATGCTTATATAGACAATACTTATTCTAACAAACAAACAGATACAGTATTGCTTGGGTGTGTTTTGCTATTTCCTGTTACTCTGCATGGCTTGCAGATTATCTTCTTATCTTGAGAGCTTATTTTGTTGCAGTTGTTGTCTTTATAGCATCTTGTTGTGGACTGTAAATCTTAACCAATGGCAATGGCCCATGGCAAGATGCTGAAAACATGAAGAAAGATGAATCAAGTTTGATTTTTTTTATTTTACTTGAATAGGTCTACATATTACAAATGTACTTAGAATTACATGATTTGAATGAATGTTTTATAAAATTCTACTTAAAGCATTCCCATATTCCTACTTGGTAATAAGCTGTGTAACAATATTTACAGTACACACACATACACACACACACACACACACACACACACACACACACACACACACACACACACACACATAACTTTGTAGTCTCGGAAATTAAAAAAACAAAAACATTACATGATACATGCAACTATAACAGGACCACGCAGGTGTGTTTATCATTCCTAATAATCTGATCTTACAGGTGTGTTTGAAGTCTCGTTCTCTATGGTGTCTCTGTGGCTCCATCTGGTCTGGTGACTCCAACAAGGGTATCTATTCAGCACATTTGCCAGTGACTTCTTAAACTTCTCCCCTACAAATGCATAGATGACTGGATTTACACAGCAGTGAGACACTGCAATGATCTCAGCAAACATCGTGGCAGTGTTGATGTTGTTTGAATCCTTGCAGGTGCTCAGGATATCAAACAGCTGCAGTGTCTGAAGGAAAACTATGACATTGTAGGGGACCCAGCACACCACAAACACACACACTATGGTGAATATCAGTTTTACGGCTCTGTCCTTTTTAGAGTTCCTGGACTTGGACAGGACAACAAGGATTTTCACATAGCAGAAAATCATGATGGGGAGGCACACAAAAAGGCCCACTGTGTTCTCACTGAAGTTTCGCAGCATCTTCCAAAACCGCTGGCTGTCTTCTGGATACAGTGGCTGACACTGGGAGCTGTTGTAATCCGGTTCTATCTCCAAGGAGGCAAATATCACCTGAGGGATTGCCATGATGATAGATATAACCCAGGTAGTGATGCTGGCAGCGATTCCATAGCGAAGTGTCCGGGCTCGCATGGCTGCAACAGCATGGACGATGGCCAGATAGCGGTCCACACTCATCAGGGTCACAAACAAAGTCCCACTGTAGAAGCCCAGCTGTTCAGAGGAGAAGAAGAACATGCAAAGTCAGAACAGGATGTGGCATAAGGTGACATTTGTCAGGGTTTGTGGGCCTCGATGAGGTTCTTCATGTAGCCGACATCATACAACAGCTGTTTCACATATAACCTCACCTTATTGGTAGAATACCTGCCCCATTATAAAAAACTACAGCTGCTAAACCTAGTTATACTGTATTTGCAGTAACATGTATTAAATTCTGCACTTTTGAGGAAATACAGATAAGCAGTAACACCTAAACAACCTTTTTACACCTCAATAACAACACCACAGATTTTATTAGTAGGTTATCTGTGCCTTTGAGTTATGAATATCAAAATATGAGTGATTTGTCAATGTGGTTGTTCTAAAAAAAAAAAAAAAGATAAATCCCCACCTGATAGACTCCAGTCATCAGTTTGCATGATATAAAGTTCTGTGAATCGTACACCCAGAGGGGCAGGGATGCAGCCAGTATGAGGTCAGACAGGACCAGGTTGAGGAGGCATATGTCTGTCATAGTCTTCAGCTTTATGTGCCGGAGGAGAACCCAGAGAACTGTTGCATTGCCTGTGAAATAAAGTTTCTAATTATTTCCGGTGACAAATTGTAGAACAGAACTGTGGCACGTATCTAAGTGTTGCATGTGTCGGTTTCTGCTAAATGTATTAAAATGTGCAAATAAAGTGATATATGTTTCCTTTTCTCTATAAGGATCAGATCTTTTAAAACATACCTAGCAGGCCTAGACAAAACAGCATGTAGTACAGAACCAACTTGGCTCTAATAGGCAACTCCAGACTGGGATCCTGATCGCAGCTGCCATTATAGTCATAGTCCAAGTACATGAATGTCTCGTTCTCTGATGTGTTCATTCTGCAGTGTGAGGAGGATCAGAGCATATTGGGATTACTTTGGGTAGACACAGTGTAGTGGTTGACATTATGAGAGCATATTACACCGTAATATACACTGTACATTATCACACAAAGTACAAAATATCTAGAATGGCACCATAAAGTCGAAAATCATTGATGTAAATCGAAGGCAGAGGTGATGTCATACAGTTGGAAAGACCCTGAAATTATTACCAGAATCTTGATAGTCCTACTTTTTTTTTTTTACATTTTGGGTGCTACCATTTGTGTGTTTGGCTGTAACCTAGCCCAGTTCCTGAGACCAACTGACCTAAATGAACCCATGCTGCTAAACCAAGTCGATCACAAGTTTAGAACACAAGCTCTAGTCTGGCAAGCATGAGTTCCCCCAACCCTACAAAAGTGACAAAAAAGTGGTATTTCAGCCCCACGTGGGGCTCTTTTGATATAAACTTACATTTCTTACTTACAGTTCTATTCTTCAAAGGTAACCGCCCAAGCTGAGTTGTTCTGGGAGATCTTTAATTTATCTTAAAGTGTTCCCCCCAGGCCTACAATTAAAATGTCACAAAACAAGAAAATCATCCAACAGTCAAGAACCTACTTCTCTCTTTCAGCTAAAACATTTCCCCATCCAGTATCTAAATAAAATTAAAATTAAAATGAATTGAAATGAGTTTATGAAGAGACACCCAACTGTCTTACTGAATTTCTCTCATTCTAATGTTCAAGCCAAACTGGCCGAATAATTCAAATTCAAAAATAAATGTACTTCTACTTACTTTATCAACAATGAGCTCTTTTGACTCCTGAATGTTGAGAAAACTGTTCCCTTCATTTGTGTCACAGTGTGTGTAAAAACTTGCGTCCACTCAAAAATCTACATGACACAGAGAGAGAAAGATTTATCTTCTTTATTGTCATAGCCACACCCTCACAATGACTGGACTAGAAATTTATAAAACTTTAACGGAACGACAGGGACATTGCTGGACTTTCCTGCCCTTTAAATTGAACTTTTCAGATATAATCATCATTTACTGAATCATGTTTGAAAGGCTCGTCCAACAAACATTTCAAGTCCAACTACTGCTAATTCAGACCAAAAAACTATTCCCAGAGATTCACCGTCACCAACAGCCTAGTCCTATATGTTGATTTATTGCTAACCTTTCTATAAATATCACAAACTTCCTCTTATTCTGACCATAATCAAACTCGTGATCACTCTTAAACCACATCTCAAATGTTTTCCCCCGCTATCAGACACCCAGGCCGACCCTTACTTCCTGTGGCTGACGTTGTTTGCATACACACCCTCATAATTCTACCACACACTGTGTTTACAGATGTAGGAGGTTAGAGAGATGAAGTAGGTCTAGTAAACAAACATTTCAAAATTAAAATTTCTTAATGTGCTTACCTCATTGTCTGCTAAAATCACTGCTCCCGAATGTGAATGTTCTTGAGTTGGGCATCAAACTTACATGTCATCCTGTCACAACTGGCATTGCTCGCTTTTTGTGTCAAATCCTGTTGCAGAGCTCATTTCTGGTAAGGTGAAGACTGGGGTTTTGTTATTTCCTCTGCATTGTGTTAAACCTGCACAGAGGTGTCAGTGTGGTTTTCTGAGAAATGTCCCTTCATGCGTTAACATGGAAGGAGTAATTGGAGGGGAAATTGTATTCTAATGAGGAACTTTTCGATTTCTGTGATATGAACTCTGTGATGAAACTAGCATTCAACTCATAAGGAATTAAAGAAGATTTTGTTTTATTTCAATACTTTTGCACACTTTTAATTCAAAATAGACTCTGAAATTAACTGTATATTAAAATCAACATATAATTTGATCAACTTAACTATATACTTAAAGTATATAGTATATAGTAGTTTCTCTTCAAATAATGACCCTACAGAACAGGCTTACATGGCCATCGTAGTACTTATAAATAACTGCTTATCTAAATATTTGATTATATATAATATTTGAACTTTTATTTTAAATGAGCACAGGATATGTTGCCATGGTTTTGGTGTCATCCGAAAAGTACAGTGTAACATTATCACTGGTACTCTTCGATAGGAGAAGGGACAAGAGATGTAAAAACAAAAAAAAACTTTATTAATCTCTATTTGTAAACAAAACCAATCATAACATGACACATTAACAAAAAAGAAGGTATTCAGTATAAAACACTACAAAAATGCAAATATGCAATATACAGTATCTATATACAAATGTCCGGCGAGTTTCACCAATCATAGCAAATGTTGAGCCATTTGTCACTAAACTTCTAGTGATTTTATTCTTATTGGAACAAACTGCCTTTGATTTTAATGAATTATACAAAAAAAAATCACCTTGCATGTTGCAATTGTACATTGCAACATGCATTGCAATTTCTTTTATAGAAAAGCTGCCATGAAAATCCGGCATTTTAGGCAGCAACAATCACCAACAGGCCACGAAATCCTGGAAGGACTGAAATGTGAGGCATAAAACAACATCAAGAAATTGTATGGAAAGTTTCAGGTATGTATGACGTTTTAAGGTGCAAAAGGTGCCACATAACCCTGTTTTGAGTTTTATCTTTGTAGCTCGATTCATCATCAAATGTTTGAATGAATAACTTTTTCCACCAACAAAGTGAACAAAACAATTCCATATGAGTATTTTGCCTCTTTAAAAAATGGTAGCTTTTCCACAAAGTATGAATGTTTTTTTACCAACGTGCAGGCTTATCACTAAATGTGTGAACAGAAAAAAACAAAGCAGGAACATTTTAAACACAGCAAGCACAACAAACTTTGTGGTTACATGCTGTTACAAACGAGAACATAGTTTCAGTCAAGAGGTGCAATTTGCAGTGGCACTAAGTTTCCTCCAGTGTCAGCAGGAAAATAAGGAGCACTGCATTAAAAAAATACCTGAGATCATACAAGATGATGAAGGAGATCAGATAGATCACACTAATATTCCAGTGCAAATTCAAAGTGCAAATGAAATCAAACTGGTCTACAGATAATAATATGCACAGATACAGTACAAGAAGCATTGTAAGGTGATGAACAGGGATGGATCTAGAGAAATATTCATGGGGTGGCCAGAGGGTGGCATGGAGACTTTAAGGGGTGGCAGAAATACAATCCCAAATATCAATATTTGCTTTGAAAAGCTATTTTAACTAAAAAACATAACAATAATATAAAAAATGGCAAATCTAAAGGTGGCATTAAAACTCAATAAATGGTTTTATTTCCAAAGCTTTTCCAAATACACTGAACTTAACTTTAGAGCATTCGTGGCGTAATTGTAGATTGCAACCCCGTCGCTTCGCCCTCCCCTTTTTATAGCGAAGAAGAAACTATGGTGGCTGTGAAGCGTGTGAACGGGCCTATCGAAAGCTAGTTTACTTTGGCCCTTCTGGGCTACTGTAGAAACATGGCAGCAGCCTCATGGCAACATGACAGCCTCCATGAAAGGCGACCCACGGGGAATCCTGGTACCTAGGCTGAGTCCTTGCTACAGCAGCCATGGGTTCGACTCTGACCTGTGGCCCCTTGCACCCCTTTCCTGTCACTCTACAGCTGTCACTATCGATTAAAGGCAACAAAAGCCCATAAAAGTATTTTAAGAAAGCAAATAAATATTTACAATAGAATTCTGTTAAACACTCTTATATAGTCTATACAACATCTTTTTTTATTATATAAATTTAAGGTCAGAAATCATCAGATCATCAAAACATCAGAAAGGCGACCCATGGCATCCAAATATAAACAGAAACATAGCAATCCCTATATTCAGGTGATTAAACACTAATAAAAAACATACCTATGAATATCATATTCCATTTCTGCCACCTAAAGAGCCTCCTAAATGTCACACGTGGACATTTAAGCCTATTACTTCTGTTTTCTGTTTTTAACATGTTATCTTTAAAATGAATCTAAATTCATGTGTTAAGTTCCACCCCATGCCACCCCTCTACATCGCCCCTGCTGATGAAGTGACAAGTGAGACAAAATCATACTACATGAACAAGGGTACCATGGCAGTAATAACAAAGCTATCCGGAAGAAAACATGTCAAACTCTGCGGGTGATGTCCATCAAACATGTTACAGCTGCCCTCCACCTCTTACTTGATGATAGTGGAGGTGACTTCAGAGGACCTGGACATAAAAGAGCTTTTCCTGTATGAACTATCTGACAGATCTCTGGAGGAGGGAAAGTAAATTCCAGGCACCCAGCTCTTCAGCAGCCGCAAGGCTCGTTTCATAAACTTTTGTCCCACAAAGGCGTATATGATGGGGTTCAGACAGCAGTGAGTGTAAGCAAAGGCCTCAGTCACTGTCACTGCCAGCTTTAAATTTGAGTCCAGGGTGCATGGGTCACCTTGCAATTTCTCTTCATCCTTCAGAAAACCCAAGAAGAGGGAGATGTTATATGGGGCCCAGAATAGGAAAAAGACAACCACTATGGAGATGATCAGTTTGACAACTCGGTGCTTCTTTGTGCTCCTCATGTTCACCAGAGTGGGGATGATCCTGGAGTAGCTCACCACCATCACCAGCAAGGGAATCACAAGACCCAGCAGATTTGTAGTGAAGAGGTTATAAAGCTTCCATGCATCGTTTTCCGGGACAAAGTCACAACTCTGCCCGTGAGACTCATTTGTCACCTTTGTGAAGACAATAGCTGGCAGAGACACACTGAAGCTCAGCATCCAGACCAGCACGGTCAGAGCAACACCTGCCCGCAGGGTGCGGTACCGAGCCACCGTGTGAGCGTGCATGATGACCACGTAGCGGTCCAGCGTCATGAGCACCATGAAGAAGATGCTGCTGAAGAACCCGGTGGTGTGGGAGGCAGCGGCGAGACGGCACATGAAGTCTCCGAAGAGCCATTGGCTGACCACAGCGTAGTTAGCGTAGAAAGGCAGCGTGGTGACGAAGAGCAGGTCGGACAGAGCCAGGTTGAAGAGGCAGATGTCTGTCAAGTTGGTCTGGTGGCGGTACTTTACCAGGACACAGACCACTAAGCCATTACCTGGCGAGAGGAAACAACATCATATCACCCATCATAGCATATGTAGGCTAAAGTAATGTGTTTCTCTCTCTCTCTCTCTCTCTCTCTCTCTCTCTCTCTGGCTCTCTCAGGGGCGGATCTAAAGAAATATATCATCACAGGGTGGGGGTGGTATGCAGAATTATTTCCAAAGCTTTAGTCTTTTTTCGTTGAACGTCAGCTATCACTTATCTAAAATGTGGTTATGACATCTGATCATTCAATCCTAAGTGTTAACTTCCGTTTTTATCTTTTTTTTCAACTGATCTGAATGACTAAATTTGACCTTTAATAGTCCTTGACACCAAACTGGGGTGGCTCCTGCCCCTGTAGATTCCCCCCCCCTCTCTCTCTCTCACTCTCTCTCTCTCTCTCTCTCTCTGTCACACACTCACTCACACACACACACACACACACACACACACACAGCCCACATACCTATGAAGCCGAGGATGAAAACCAAACTATAGAGAGTGGGCAGAAACACCTTGCCAAAATCCCTCACATCCACGGAGTTGCACGGAGCGAATAATTCCGACTCGTCATAATATTGTGAATAATCATATATAGTCACATTTTCTCCATAACCTGCAGACAAATAAATATATATATATTTAGTCAATTTCATCATTCACAGACCTTAATGTAGATATTCCTGTATAATAACTTACATCAACAGCTACCTTTTTACCTTTAAACACTTTTTATGCACATTTTATAGCACATTTCTGAACAGCATTTCCCTTGTTTATTTAAGTATCCGGCCATACTGCACATATTCTCTTTTTATGTTTGTATATATTGGCTCCTTTTATTGTCTCTATTTTTTATCTTATTTATGTATATATTGGTAAATAAATATACCAAGGCAAATTCCTTGTATATGAAAACCTACTAATACACCTGATTCTGATTCTGACAAATGTTGTTCTATTTAAGTGCTCACAGCATTGGGAAATGACATTTAATATGACTACTATTATCATCTTGACAATTCAATGTCAATCTAACTTTATTTACCACCTTTCAAACAAATTGTTTAAAAAAGGTTTTAGGGACTATACTTCCAATTGAGAGAGAGGCCTGTCTGTTATGATTAATGCTGCTGTGTCTGGAAGGACACAATCACATTTTTAAATATCAGTCCTGTGAGCACCACAACTAAATTTCACACAGATAGATATCTCAAAACAGAAATACAACTGGATAAATAAAATAAATGTAACCAAATCTACTTTCAAGTGAGTGTGATCATCTGTAAAATGGATTCATTCATTAATTGTGCCACCTGTTGGCCTTCACTGGCCTTTGCTCCCTTGCGAGAATAATTGGTCAGGCCTGCATGTTACTCTACAAGGGGAGGACAAAACAGTATAACACCTTTATGACTGTACATCAGCAATACAAACATTTTTGTGTTCATAGGAGGTTAAATGGGCATTAACAGTCAATTTGCCATATATTGTTTCTGTCATATGCCCACTAATTTCAGCCGGTGCACCACAAGTTTCTGTTTTATTTGATCTATTTTGCGTATAAGGATATGTTTTAGATTTGATCCACATATACAATTATTGTAGATTTTTACTTCTGTGAAATTGTAATTAATTCTGATTTTAATTCTTCTGAACTGTTATTTTGTATGTGTGCTGTAATGTTTGATAAATACAAATAGCATAAAGGACAGTTTTTGAAGACTTTTGATTACTAACCAACATTTTGTGTCTTCATCGTCACAAACAATTTTTGTAATCTCAGGACTTAAAGATGATGTTTTATAAAGATCGAAATGGAAATTCAAAGAAATTATGAAATATACTGCGTTACAGCATTTGTATTTAAATGGCATGCAGACATAAAACTGTTCGCAATATATTACAGCATCAAATGATCAGACACAAATATTTCATCAAATCAATAATACATGGATAAGTATACTGTACACTATGCAACAACAACAAAAAAGTTAAATGCATTCACCTGACATGGTGATATCTCAGTTATTCCCTTTCCTGTCAGGTATAGTAAACAGTTGCACTTCAGGGCTCCTTATTCCTCTGTCCAGATCTTTATGGATGTGATGTCCTCAAATGTGAAGTGATGAACAAACTGTCTGAATGTAAGCAGTCTCTTATTAATGAGTAGGCTAGTACAGAAAGAGAAGTGCAGTTGTAGTTTCCTGTACGTCCCTAAGTGTGACTTTGAGATCTTTATCAGGAGCTCAAAGTTCACGCCGCATGTTTTCTAAAAACATAGAATGCACTTGTGTCGCCAAAAACATGTCAGATGTTCACACTTGCACAAAATAAAAGTTATTATTATATTATATAAAATTAATATATATATTTTTTTTTTACAAATGAAGTCAAGAATTGAGTATTTGATTAACAGTAAGTATGCATGTGTTCACCAATTGATTATTGATTATAGATATAATTATAGCTCTTGTGCTTATTTGCAATGCAGAAAAATCTGTAGTAATATCAGAGCAATGCTCATTTAGATTTAGTATGATATAAACATATCTGACTATCAATAATAGTATGTTCCAGCCAGTTTTGGTGATATAGATACCCTTTTGTTTACATCACAGATTGTAGCTTTAATTAAGTTGAAAAGTTTAATGTGTTTGCTCAAAGACTGCTGTTTAGTGTTCAGATATTAGATCAATAGAACAAAGTAGATACCAAAGGCAACTGGTGGTGTGATGATATTATATTATATAATAATAATAATAATAATGAATAACTGTATGCCTTTTTCTATTTATTTTCTATCTATTTATTTTTGAATTTATCTGTTCTAATGTGGTTACATTTGCTTTTATGAAAAGTGCTGTAATAATAAAGTCTGATTGATTGATTGGCTGATTGATATTGATTTATGTCCTACTTGCTGCTACATAGCCAAAAAGCACTGTTTTGATATTGTTCTTGCTTCTTCTTCTTTTTTATTTTCATTATTACTCCTGGTCAATAGTAATGCAGCATTATTAATGCTGCCAATCTCTATGCAATATTTAACCCCAGAGCAATATCGAACGGTGGGTTTGCAGTAGTGTAGAGTGGTCTACGAGTGCCCTCTTGTGGTGCAGAATCATAGCTTAGTTGTGCAGGGAGGTGTTGCATGGGCAAGATAGCAGAAAGCATGCTGGGGGAACATGGAAAAAAGAATGAATTCTCATCACAATGAGACATTGTGCAAAGAAGCTTAGTTCAAACACTTGTGTATAACTGACTTAGCTGGGGATCTGTTTCTCAACCACTGAAATAACTTTATCACCTCTTTTGTTTTTACTTTCTTGTGGAAAAACTGACATTCTTGTTTAGTTTCAATTGAAACGTATCTGCTGAGCAACCATCACTTTATTTCATCTGACTTTATTGTATTTTTCTAATTTATTTACTTTTTCTAAACTGTTAATATTTAAATGTTTAACGTGTTTTGGGATAGCTTTCTCTTTCATTTTTGCCTTTTCATCAGTTTCTATCAATCTATATGCTTTTTAGATGTAGTATAATTGTTACATGTACATTTTTCATTATTTGGTCACAATGTTTTCTCATTTTCCCTTTGTTGCATGTGTTTCGCAGCACAAAATGATTTTATTGTGATATTTTGTTATCCTTCTTGACCAAATGAATGTGTTTTTGGAAACAAATCTTTCCAAAACTAAGAATGACCACTTGGTCTCTAAATTGTTTAAATTTAGAATGATTTTACTCCAGTCCTCTGGAGTCAATATAACTTATTGTTAATAGCATTTTCCTGCTCTAGTAAGGTGCTTTACTGTAGAGTGACTGTACAGTCTTTGTTTAAAACTGTATCTTTTATTTGTATAATGCTGTAAATGAAACAAACATACTTTATTTTATGTAATGTAGCCTATATGACCAGCATGATTGGATTGGATAGTTTTTGTACATTACACTCAATTTCATTTGACACTTGATGCTGTTGATATATATATGTCCGTGTATCTTTTGGTCATTGGATTTTCCTTTCAGAAACGGGTATTAAAAAACAGAAAACGAGTGGTTATTTGATTTTCGTTTTAAAATACAAAAATTAAAATTGAAATACAAGGCGTTTTTCTTTTTCATGGTCAAGATGAAGCCGCACTTAAATTTCGAGTACAAGTATTCTCAGTATTATGGTAAATGCGGGGAAACAGCGTATTTACTTCCGGTTTTCAAAATAAAGGTATTTAGAACAGTAAGCTATAATTCGAACCTACATTTAAAATGAAATATGTTACGTTAAAGTGTTTCATGCGCCCCTGATGAATAAAAAACACTTTATATCAAGTATACTGCACCAGTGTGGAGAAATGCCAATATAAAAGTCTCATATTTATGCCTCCAGAGATTGCATATTTGACCATATTTGAGGTACTGTAAAAACATATTGCTCAGTGTTTCCTGGCTACTGATGGTATATTTGACTTTTACACATATGAGACTACAGGCATACTTAATATCAAGCATTTTTACTGCACCAATTTGGAGAAATGTAAGAATAAAAGTCCCATATTTAATATTCCTTAACATATTCCTTATTAGACATTCTCTGGGGTAACCTACCGGATTCTGAGAGGGCGGGGTTAGAAAGAGAGAGAGAGAGAGGGAGCTGTGCTGTTCATGAGTTTGTTAAATGTTGCCGAAGTTTTATTTATTTAATTAAAA